AGGGGGGGGGTCCGTGCAGGGAATCGGACTGGGCCCGATCGCTTTCTCGCGCGGAGGTTTAGCAAAAAAAAATCCCCGAAAGTTGGAGTCTTGGTGTGGAGACACCCACTTAGGGCAAGAGAAAGAGCTGCGCCTGTCTCTGCGCTGGGGAGGGGGTCACAAACGGACCCACTCCGTCCCACCCTCCCTGCCAAGACCCCACCCCCACCCCACCCCCGCCAGAAGCCCCTTGTCCCCGCGCTGTCCAGGCGGGTTGCAAAGGCCCCGTTTCTCCCTAGCCGCGAGTAAAGGCCAGAGAGAGAGAGAGAGAGAGAGAGAGAGAATCAGAAGGAGAAAGAAAGAAAGAAAGAAAGAAAGAAAGAAAGAAAGAAAGAGAGAGAGAGAGAGAGAGAAGAAGAAGAAGAAGAGGGGGCGAGAGAGAGGGAGAGAAGAGAGAGAGGAGAGAGAGAGAGGAGAGAGAAAAAAAGAAAGAAAAAGGCAGGGGGAGAGAGAGAAAGAGGGTGAGGACAGGGAGAGAGGGAGAGAGGGGGAGAAAAACAGAGGGAGAGGGAGTGAGGGAAAGAGAGAGGAGAGAGAGAGAAAGAGAAAAAAAGGCAGGGGGAGAGAGAGAAAGAGAGAGAGGGAGAGGACAAGGAGAGAGGGAGAGAAACAGAGAGAGGGAGAGAGAGGGGGAGAGGGAGAGAAAATGTGTGTGTGTGTGTGTGTGTGTGTGTGTGTGTGTGTGTGTGTGTGAAGGGGGGGGCAGTTCTAAAGGCCAGCCGCCTTTGTCCTGCCTGCCTCGGAAAGTATCCCGTCTCCTTTCTCTCTTTCTTCCTCTCCCCACGGGAGGGGCGCCTCTGCTTTGCTTCCCTGCACTGCCGTTTGCGCGGGATCCTAAGCTCTGAAACTCCTCCCCCCCCGGCAAGACCACACACGCGCGCGAACACACACACACACACACACACACCAGTCGCCGAAAAGGAACGGGCTGGTTGACCCAAAGGGCAGCGTTCTTGCCTTCCGTTGCGGCATTCCTTTCGCGGACCCCCCCTTTCCCACAGAAGAAAAGGGAGAACTGCACAGGTTGTCCCCCTTTCGTTAAGGCGGGGGCGAGGGGGGGGGGGCTGGAACCCATCCCGGAGCTGGAGAAACCCTTTGGGGGGGTGGGTTTCTCTCGCCCCCCCCACCACCTTTCCCTTAACCCGCTGGCCTGCTCTCTACCCAGTGAAAAAAGCTTTTCCAAACAAAAAGAATCCGCTTTTAGGCATTTGGTCCTGTTTAAGAGGAGGGGTGCCACACAGGACTTGGGGGGGGCGAGGAGGAAGAGGGGGGGGCGGCGGAAAGAATCGTCCTGCGTTGTAGAAAGAAAAAGAAAAAAAAGATTTTTTTTAGCCCGTTCTCCACATATATCCTGTAACCCTTAGAGAAAAAACAGGATTCTTTGGCAGCCGAGCAGCTATTTTGCTCCCTCTGCTTACCCACCCCCATTTCGGGGGGGGGTCCCGTCTGTAAGCCAAAGACTTCCGGGGAGTCCTCAAGCAGCAAGAAAGTGCGTGTGTTTGTCTGTGGGGGGGGGAGAAACACCCCTTCCCCTTTTCAACCCGCCTAAAAAAGCAAGGAAAGGAAAGTCCCTCTCGCATCCAGTGGCAGCGAGTTCCATAGTCGTCCCGCACCCCGCTCCCTTCCAGCTTCCTGGCCTGAGTATGGAGCCCCCGCCGACCTCTAATGCTTTGCGCACATCTGGGCTGGTGCCCCCCCCCCGAGAAGGAAATCCAGGGGACAGGCGGGGGGGGGTGAGCGAAAGGTCCATTATTTAGTAGTTTTCTGCAAAAAGGGTGGGCTAATTAAAAGGCTGATCTTAAGTGATTCTGACGTCGCGGTTCTCCAACCGGCCAGAGCGAGGTGATGCAAAGGCAGCTTTAGCTAATTATTTACAAATAAAACACAAATAAAATGGAAAGTAGTGGGGGGAGGGGGGTTGAGGGAAGAGGCCGCCAATTATTAGCTCGTCTCGAGTTCCTGGGAGCGAATTAATAGTCCAGTGAAGAGAAAGGGGGAGGCACTCTTCATCCCCCCCCTCTTTTACCAAATGAGGAGGGGGCGAGGCGAAGGGAACGACCCCTTCCCCCTTTTCAAAAATGGAAGGTCTCCGTGACCTACGCTGAATAGTTGTTGTTGTCAGGACGGACCAGGGAACAATTCTGGTCCTGGTTAAGAACGGGGGGGGGGGAGACCCTCGCCTCTCACCTGTCCCTCTCGCGGAGTCTGGGGGTGCAAAGATCCCCCCCTTTTCCGAATCTCGACCTCTCACGGAAGACAAAGGAGTCCAGGTCCCCGGGAAAAGTAAAAGACCCCCCCCTTCCAGGCGGAGTTTTTTTGGGGGGGGGTCCTCCTGGAGCGTCCGCTCTGCCTTTGGCTTGGAAGCTCCTGCTCCGAATGGGCGGGATGCGTCCCCGGTTCTCCGTTCCTCTGCCCCCCCCCAGAAGGAGAGGACAGACGGAGGGGGCATCGGAAACCCGGCAATTATCCTCTCGGCCTTTCTCCCTCGGCGGAGCCCTCCTTTTGTCTGCCTCGGCTAGGGCGGAGCGGCTCCCGGTCTGCGGCAGATGGTGGTGGCCCCGGCCGGCAAGACGCTCACCTGTCGCCTCCCAGAGGGACAGGTGGGATGGGAGGGGGCGCTTCCTTCTGGGAAGGGGGAAGACCTCCCTCCCTCCCTCCCTCCCTGGAAGGAAGGCGCCAGAAGGTTGAGGGTCTTTGCCTCTCATTTGTAACGGTCTTCTCCCCCAACGCTGGCTGGGGGGGGGTCTTTGCCCTGCAGGTGGGCCTACAGCGCATCCCACGTTCAGGGGGGGCAGAGGAAGCCGAGCGTTGAGCCTAGGATAAATTATAGTCTTTAAATCAGTCCAATTAACGACCGCAGTGACGCCAGGCCAGGCGAGATCGTTAACCCAGCCGAAGCCCGGGATGTGGGGCAAGCAGAGGGGGGTGTGCGTGTCCCGGAGCTCCTGACACGTCGGGCTTTCCCCGCGCAGCCCTGCCACTTGCTCCAGGGAGCCCCATGGAAAATTGGAGCCGAGGGAGGTCGGGAAGAGGTTATACAGCAGCCGCCCCCCCCCGACGCTTCGGGGGGGGGCGTGTGTGTGTGTGTGCCCTGCCCTGTCCCACTCTCCATTCATTCTCTGTGCCCCGGAGCAAGAAGACACTTCTCCGGCACTTCTTCACGGGTGGGGACAGAGGGAGTCACCGCGCTGCGCTTCACAGCTCCGGAGCCAACACGATTTGGTGGAGGTGCAAAGGACTGACCAGGCAAAGCCCCCCTCCCCAAATTCGAAGCCACCCCCTAGAGCAGCAGCCCTCAACCTTTTGTACGCCAGGGACCGGTTGCGTGGAGAGAGTTTTTTTTTTTTCTTTTCGCGGACCGGGAGAGGCTGTGGTTTTTGCATGCTGCCTGCATCTCGCTCGTTTGCGCGGACCGGTATAGTTGCAGGGACCTGCGGTTGGGGATCCCTGCCCCAGCAGCACAGAAAGCAGCCGGTGGCGCTGGAAAGAACCTGGTGTCACTCCGGTTCCCGTTACTCCAGCCTTGCTTGGCAAGGACCCCGGGGGCGAGGGGTCAAGAGCAGGCTCCTGAGGGCCGCTTCCCGCCCGTTGGGCTCTTCAAGGGAAGCTCTCTGGAATGGCCAACGGAAGAGCCAGCCAGCCAGCTAGGAAGCTTTCCTGAAAGGGCTCCGCGTGAGTTTTAATCGGTCGGTCGTCACTTCTTTCCTTCCCGGCTCCGCTCTCCTCTCCCTCCAACTCGACGTAAGCTCCGCCCAGTAGGAAGAGAGGGCGGGGCCTCCCACAGGCCTTCTTCGGGACCTGTCGCCCCTCAAGAAGGGGAGGGGGCGTATCTGGGGTGCTGTTCCGCATTAAATGTCTGCGCCTGCGGGGGGGGGGGAGACGAGGGGGCCCAGCCCCTTAAAGAAAGAGCCCTGAAATTCGCAAAGAGGCAGCAAGAACAAGCAGACCCCCTCCTCTGAATCCGGATTCAAATAGGCGTCCCACGGTGGGGAGGGAAAGGGGGGGGGGAAACACTTTGCCTCGTGTGCTCAGGGTATTCTCAACTCCTGGTCTTTCGGAGTCAGTCAGGGTCCACGCTGTTCTCCGCAGCCTTTGGACCTGGTGGGCATCTCTAGGAGCTGCCCCTAAGGGGGGACGGAACTGGGGTCTCCCCCAGCCTGACCTCTCCTAGCCAACCCCTCGAAAAGCGGAGCAGGACTCTGCCCCCCCCCCCGGATCATCCAATGCCGTCCTCTCCCCAAAACTGCGCCAATGCAGGACCAGCTTTATAAATGGAGGGGTCGATGTGCACGCATCCCCCCTCCCGGGGGGGGGAGCAGAAAAGCTTCTCAGCCGCCGCCTTCAGAACGGTAGAGCCAAGCTGCTCTTTCGACGGCCACGCCCCCTTCACTGGGGGGGGGTGTCCTTCCTTCCTTCCAACCTTCCTTCCTTTCTTCCTTCCTCTTTCTTTCTCTCATTCCTCCATTCCTCTTTCTTTTTTCTTTCTTTCTTTCCCTCCCTCCCTCCTTCCTTCCCTCTTCCTCTTTCTTTCTTTCTTTCTTTCTTTCTTTCCTCCCTCCATTCCTCTTTCTTTTTCTTTCTTTCCTTCCTTCTTCCCTTCCTTGTTCTTTCTTTCTTTCCCTCCTTCCTTCCCTTCCTTCTTTCCCTCTCCCCTCCCTCCCTTCTTCTTTCCCTCCTTCCTAATTTCTTTCTTTCTGTCCTTCCTTCCCTCTCCCTTCCTTCCTTCCTTCCTTCCTTCCTTCCTTCCTTCCTTCCTTCCTTCCTTCCTTCCTTCCTTCCTTCCTTCCTTCCTTCCGAGACTCGTTTCCTCCCCCGCAGACTCTTCTCCCTGACTTAGTCTCCAACGGAAGGGAGAAGACGCCTTTCCCTCCCAGCGGGGACGGGGGTCTGCCTCCTCCTTTGCGGGACAGAAAGGAAGCACCCCTTCCTGGGAAGCAAAAGGGGGCGTCGGTGGGGGGGGGTCAGGGACCCTCCTGGCCACTTTGGGAAAAATCGGAGCCGGAGTCTGTGCCCCGTCCTTTCTGCGCTGCCAGAGGGCCGAGAGAGCGAGCCGCGGTAGCCAAGCGGCCGCCTGGACGGCGCGGCCCGGCCGGGCGGTTGCCCAGGCGGCGGGGGAGCCTTCGCCCTTCCCGGCCCGAGCCGGCCACCGGGCGAGCACATGGTGGACGGAGCACCGGGCGGGCGGGGAGCAGCCAATGGGCGCCGGGCCCGACGTGATGTCAGAGCGGCGCTAGAAAAGGCGCGGAGCCTTGCGCGGGCTGGGACTGCGGCGGCTCCTGCCCGGAACGCGGCTCCTCCTCCCGGTCCTCCCCCTCCTCCTCCTCCTCCTTCTCCAGCCTCGCCTTCCCGCCCGCTGCCTCGGTCCTCGAAGCGGCAGCCGGGCTCAGCAGCCGCCGCCGCCGCCACCGCCGCGCCTGCCGGAGGAAAAAGCAGCAGCAGAAGCGGCAGAGGCGCAGAGCCGGCCCTGATCCCGCCCGCCTCCCTCCCTCCTTGCGCGGATCCGGCCCGCTCGGCCGTGCCCGCCGCAGCGCCTGGGCCTCTCCCAGCCCCGGAGCCGTCCCGAGCGCCGCCGGGAGAAGCCCAAGCGCCCGCCGTCCGTGCGCCCCCCCCCCAGCCTGGAGCTCGCCATGCTTTAAGACCGGCCGTCGCAGCCTTCCGTTTCTCCGCCGCCGGCCGGGGCCGGGGCGGCCTCCCCCGGCGGGCGGACCCAAGCCAGCCCGGGGGGGGTGGGTGGAGGAGGAGGACGGGGAGGCAGCGGAGGCGAGACGGGGCGGCCGGCCGGCCGGGCCGAGGAATGGCACCTCCGCCTCGCCGCGCGTAACCGGAGAGCGGCGGAGAGGCGCGGGGCCTCCGGCGCGGCCATGCTCTTCCACAGCCTGGCCGGTTCCGAGATGCGCGGCGTCATCGACCAGATGGACCGGCGGAGCAAGGCGGACGCTCCCGCCATCACTTCGGCCATCGACCGAGGCGAGACCGAAACGGTAGGCAGGTCCGGCGGGCGGCGAAGTCAAGCCGGGAAAGGATATCAGGGCGAGGCCGCTCTCGGCTGCTCGGCACCCCGCTTGCGGTCCACCGGCTCCCCCGAGGCCCCCCTCCGACGGAAAACGCGGGACTTGGGTCGGGAAGAGGAACCGTGGCGGGGCCGCCGAACCGGGCCAGGTTCGATCCGGGGAAAGCGGAGCTGCCGTTTTTAAGCCGGCTTGGAGAACGCCCCAAAAGTGCATTTTTTGGGTTAACGAGTATATTTGCCTCTTCCTCTCTCTAGTTATTCCCCCCCCCCGCCACCCCCGTTGCAAAGAAATCAAATTAAATAAAATTCAGCTTTAAACTACCGCTACGGAAGGCGAAGTTGGGCTCACCTTAAATCGATCCAGAAAAACATGACTTTCTGGGGCCTTTATTTTATTGATGATGCTTCAGACATTTCGTTTACAGTTTGCCCCTTCCCCAAATCGAAGTCTCTTGTCTATCTGTTGGCTTCGCTTCCCCCCCCCTTTTTTTTTTTTTTTTTTTTGCTTTTAATGTGTTTGCTTAACCAAGTGGCCTCGGTCGGCAACATTTTAATAGAGGGATTAGCATTTATCGTTTTTCCGCCCGTTTCTTTTTTCCCTTCCACCAACCGTCTGGTTTCACCTGTTAACTAGAAAAATGAATGTATATCCCGTCAGCGCCTTCCAGCTAATTCTAGATAATACTAGAATTAATGACAAAAATAACAATAGCCTTGCGAATAATAAACCGTTTATAAATGGACGGTGCAGAATGCTATTTAGTCGGGAATATTATTTCAAAGTTAAACGAAAGGGCCCTTTCCAAATATTTTTCTTCGGGATTTTTTTGGCACTTGGGAGAAACGACAATTATTTTTCCTCCGCTATTTTTCTTTCCTTTTCTTTTTTTATAATTATTGTGGTTGTTATGATTTTTTTTTGCCCCGACGAGCCTTCTGTTTTTGCCCTTAGAAATATTTTCTGCAGAGACGCTTTGAAAAGAAAATTTCAAGAAATTAATTCACTTCTTTTGCAGAGCAGGAATTAAATAACAGGACTACTTCCCGACTTCCAGATATTAAATGGATTTTCAAAAGATTCCACGTTCTCATTTCAAATTAGGGGAACGGATTTTCTTATCTTTTCTTTTTTGTTTTGCAGGAGAAATAAAATTAATCTGATTTCAACATGCTTAGGGATCTCTATTTAAAAAAAAAAAAGCCCGTCTCGTCCATTTCTAATTCAAATAATTATTTGTCCTATTTAAAAAAGAAAGACGAGAGAATTTTCCCTCTTCCGATACCAGCCGGAATGGGTTGAATAAATTAACGTTAGCATTTTAAAATATGTTTATAAGAAGGAGGAAAAAATGAAAAAAAAAATAAGCAGCGTGGTTATTTAGGCAGAAGGGGAAACAAAAACAAAAAAACCCAGCTCGGATAAATTCAAACTTAGATTCCGAGGAGGCGCCCAGTCTGGCGGGAGTTCCAGCCAGCTCGCCCGGGGCAAATTTCCGCGCGATGCCCGTTAGGATCTCAGCCAGAGCTGATCGCAGCCAGATGCTTTGCGCTTCCTCCGAAGTGGCTGCCTTAGCTAGCCCGTTGTGGCCTGGTCGTGGAAAAGCCCGGGCTTGGCTCTGTACGAAGCGCCTTCCTTCCTCAGCTCCTGCCCGCTTAAATTTCCTTTATTTGCTGCCCCCCCTTTAAAAAAAAAAAACAAAAAAAGCAAAAACGTGGAAATAACGGAGGAGTAACGCGAGCGGCCGTTATTTCGTTAGCAGAAAAATACTATTAGACTCGTGTTTGTTTTTTTTAATATGTATGTATGTATGTATGTATATGTGTGTGTGTGTGTATGTATGTATGTATGTATGTATATATATATATATATATATATATATATATATATATATATATATATATATATATATATATAAAACTTTCTTGCAAAGAGCTGAGAAGAGAGCTAAGCTTTCGTTCCTGGGGGGCGGCGGCGGCGGCGGGGGGGGCCCTAAACATTTGTTTCTTTAGGATTTCCCACCCCTATTTATTTTACGGGGCTTCTCCCGCCCCGCGCAGGCCTCCGCTTTGCTTTTCCTGTCCTTTCCCCCTCCCTCCCCCCCGTGCCACAATCCATACTGCGAGACGCGCAGAGAAAAACGGGAGGCCGGGTGGATTCAGACGACGCGGCTAGCTGGAGCTCCGAATTAAAACCCCGTTTCGGCTTCCCACCACTCGCAGAGGGCTGAATTCCACCCCCTCCCCCAAGCTGGGAATACAAGCCAGCTTTGACCTGGTGCCGTGGGTGGGTTGTGGGAAGGCAGCCCAAGGAGATGGAGAAAAGGATTTGGGGGCTCGCTCGGATTCAACCAACCAACCAGTCAGTCAATCAGAATCGAGCTGGAGGGGACCTTGGAGGTCTTCTAGTCCAGCCCCCTGCTCAAGCAGGAGACCTGATGCCATTTCAGACCAGTGGCGGTCCAGTCTCTTCTTAAAAACCTCCAGCGATGGAGCGCCCACGATTTCTGGTGGCAAGCCGTTCCACTGGTTAATTGTCCTCGCTGTTAGGAAGTTTCTCCTTCATTCCAGGGTTGCTTCTCTCCTTGATGAGTTTCCCTCCGTTGTTTCTTGTCCTGCTCTCTGGTGCTTTGGAAAATAAGTCGAAGCCCCTCTTCTTTGGGGCAACCCCACAAATATTGGAAGACTGCTATCCTGTCTTTTCTCTCTCTTTGGACCAGCCAAACCCAAATCCTGCATCCTTTCAGACCCAAATCCCAACCGGTTCTGTGGGGCTGGCGGTGGGGTGGGGATGGGGGGGGGGGAGAAAGGGACCTCCTGGCGTTACCCGTCCCCCCCCCCCTTGCTGGATGTAGGCATTTCCCGGCCAGGCTCCTCTCCGTTCCTGCCCGGCCGGGCAGGTGAAGGAGCCGGTGGCCCCTCGCCTTAAGCGCTTCTCTCTCTTTCTCTCCCCCCCCCCCTCCCCGCAGCACGCCATGCCGTCGGTGAGCAGCGAGCGGGCCGCCCTGTGCGCGGGCTGCGGCGGGAAGATCTCGGACCGCTACTACCTCCTGGCGGTGGACAAGCAGTGGCACATGCGTTGTCTGAAGTGCTGCGAGTGTAAACTCAACCTGGAGTCCGAACTCACCTGTTTTAGCAAAGACGGCAGCATCTATTGCAAGGAAGACTATTACAGGTAAGGATCGGTGGTGGGGGGGGGAGAAAGGCGAGGGCAAAGGGGACGGGGCAGGTCTGGCCGGCGGCGGGCACGGGGGTGGGCAAGTGGGGGGGCGAGGGGCTGGTGGAAACGCCGCCGCCTCGGCCTTCTTTCGGATGCCAAAGAGGCCGCTGGGCTTTCTGGTTCCGCTCTGAAGACGTTTCGCTTCTCCGCCCAGAAGCTTCTTCCGTTCTGACTGGGCGGTGGGAAGGATTTGTATACTTCTTGCAGACCGCTGGTGGTCCTTTGCCTTCTCTTAGAGAGTTGTTGCAGCCCTTTGGGGGGGGTTACCTGGGTGCTCAAGGTCACCTGTGTGTGTGGGGGGGTTTCAACACAAACATGGGGGGAAACTGAGGAAGCTTCTGGGACGAGAAGCGAAACGTCTTCCAAGGAAAAACGAGAAAGTCCAGTTGCCTCCTGAAAAAGCATCTTTGGGACCACCGGGAACCATAGGTGTCTTCTTTAGGACTTACCTGCCAGCTCACCTGTACGGGGCTCCCCCCCCCCAAAGGCCTGGCGTTCCCGGGCGGGTTGGGAGAAAGCGAGGGGCAGCGTCCTTTCCCGCGCGGGGTGGAGGGCGCTCCCCTTTCTTATTCCCCCCCCTCTCCGCGAAGAAAGGCGGTGGAGGAACTCTGCACCTGCTCAGGTGAAGACCTCCAAGGGCTCTCTCTCTCTCTTCCCCCCCCCCCCCCTTCTCTCTCTGGCTGGCAGGAGATTCTCGGTGCAGCGCTGCGCTCGCTGCCACTTGGGCATCTCAGCTTCGGAGATGGTGATGCGCGCCCGGGACTCGGTTTACCACCTGAACTGTTTCACCTGCTCCACCTGCGCCAAGATGCTGACCACCGGCGACCACTTCGGCATGAAGGACGGGCTGGTTTACTGCCGCCTGCACTTCGAGGCGCTGCTGCGCGACGAGTACCAGCTCCACTTCAACCGCGCCGAGGGGGTGGCCGGCAAGGGCTCCCCGCTGGGGGCCGCCGCCTCGCTGGGCCTGCCCTACTACAACGGCGTGGGCACCGTGCAGAAGGGGCGGCCCAGGAAGCGGAAGAGTCCGGGCCCCGGGGCCGAGCTGGCCGCCTACAACGCAGGTAAAGGCCGTGAGAGAAAAAGAAAAAAAAAAAGGGCGCTGCGCCCTTCCCGGTTTTGCAAAAGGATCGCGGCCTAAATTTGCGCTTGATTTGCTTGTGACACCCTAATTTGTCGCCTTGGCTCTTTCCAGAGAGAGGGCCTGTTGGAGTTTTTTTGGGGGGGGCTACGCACCTCCTGGCCCCCCAGCGCCTGGGGCCTGCGCTCGCCCACGAGTTAGGCCACCTTGGCACGTTCCCACGTTCCGAAAAGCGGGTCGCCGCCTGCAAGAGACGAGTGAGGACGGGGAGCGTTGCCGGGTGGCGCTTCTCTGCGCCTCGGCGCTGGAGCCGCGCAGTTGTCGCTGCCCTGACCCTAAGGGACGGGCTGGGCGGGGACGACGGCGGGGGTCCCGGGTTTCAGGATCGTGGGCAACGTCGCTTTTCCTTGCCGGCCGAGATCGGCTGAAAGTTGGCCGCGCAATTGCCAGCCCGAGCAGAGCGCTTTGCCCTGCTTTCTCTCAGGAAAAAGGGATTCGGGGCGCAATTGTGTATGTGCGTGTGTGTGTGTGTGTTTGTCTCCGCGTGCGCGGACAGTTTTGCGCGCTGAGAAAGGACCGCTGTTGTTGTTGTTCTATTGCGGGTCGGGCCCGGCGTCCCGACGTCGGCCAAAACGCGTGTCTTCTGGCAGAGGGAATGCACGGGGTGGGTCTGGGTGCCGAAGAGCGCGCGGAGTAAGAGCGCATTTTTTTTTTCCCTTCGTTCCCTCGGAGTCACCCGTTTCTTAAGCGCTTTCTCCTCCGCCTCGCAAGCTGGGAAAGTTTATTCTTCAGCAACGGGGCGCCCCCCGCGCCCCCCGAGACCGTAGTTGCTGTAGTAAAGTCTTGGGGGGGGGGTGTTGAGAAGCAGAGAGAGCCGCGCGCCGGTTAGCCCAAAGCCCCCGCAGTTGCAAGCCCGAAAAGGAATAAAAATCCTCTTTTTTTTTTTGGTTACGCCTGGATCCGAACGCGACTCGCAGCTTGGTTACATTTCCACGTAAAGGTTGGGCCCCGAACTTGGGAAAGGGGGGGGGCAGGAGAGGAGGAGGAAGAGGAAGAGGAAGAGGAAGAGGAGAGGTTGACTAAATGCGGGTCCGCCGCCGCCGCCGCCGCCCTTGAAGGACGGGAGACTAACCGGGCCCGTTTTGTTGGCGAGTTGAATCGCGCGGGGGGGGGGCGTTTTCCTGGATGCGAATCGAGTCTGACAAGCAGAAAACGGCTTCGGAGGGGGGGGCGGGATTTCAAAGAGACCCCCCCCCGTTGCCCCAAACGATTTGCGCGGGTGCTCCCTCCCTCTCCCCACTCGGCAACTTTTAATTCTTTCTTTCTTTCTTTCTTTCTTTCTTTCTTTTTCTTTCTTTCTTTCTTTCCCTCCCTCCCTCCCTCCCTCCTTCTGTGTGTTTGTAGAGATTGTCTTCCCTCCTCCTCTTTCTTTCTTTCTTTCTCCCTCCCTCCCTCCTGTGTGTTTGTAGAGAGATTGTCTTCCCTCCCTCCTCATTTCTTTCTTTCTTCCTTTCTTTCTTCCTTTCTTTCTTTCTTTCTTTCTTTCTCTCTTTCTCTCTCTCTCCCTCCCTCCTTCTGTGTGTTTGTAAAGAGATTGTCTTCCCTCCCTCCTCATTCTTTCTTTCTTTCTTTCTTTCTTTCTTTCTTTCTTTCTTTCTTTCTTTCTTTCTTTCTTTCTTTCTCCCTCTCTCCCTCCCTCCTTCTGTGTGTTTGTAGAGAGATTGTCTTCCCTCCCCTCCCTCTCATTCTTTCCTTTCTTTCCTTTCTTTCCTTTCTTCTTTCTTTCTTTCTTTCTTTCTTTCTTTCTTTCTTTCTCTCCCTCCCTCCCTCCCTCCTTCCCTCCCTCTGTGTGTTTGTAGAGAGATTGTCTTCCCTCCCTCCTCATTTTTTTCTTTCTCTCTCTCTCTCTCTCTCTCCCTCCCCCCCCTCTCTCTTTCTTTCTGAGCTTGGAGGGTGCCACATAAAATCAAATTCAAAGCCCTCTCTTCTTTCCCAGCATTTTATTATTATTATTTAAAAACCCTCAAAAACCCCTTTCTCAGATCGCAGCAACCTCCCCCCCCCCCCAGGAAGAAGGAGAACCTAAATGGTGAGAACTTATTTTTCAGGGGGGGGGGCTCCCCTCTGTTCTTTGTCCAATGGAAAGTGGCCTTCCTTGCCCTTCCCCGCTTTGGGAACCCCTCGAATTTCCCCCCTCCTGGACATCTTTCTTGTGGGGGGGGAAGGGTAGAAGAGTCACGCCTGCCTATTCAGAAGCAGCCCCCTCCCCTTTTATCCAGAAAGGAGGAGGGGGAGAAAAGCTGCCTCCAAATCTATGCTTTCATTTATTGAGTTCCTTCAGTCCGAACTATTATTCCGCGCTCGATTTGTCCCAGTTGGAACACATTTTGCGATACAATCTGGATTTGTCCCATAGCTCCAGCCCTCTCTTGGACAGAGATTCTGGGGGGGGGGCTGCCAGAAGTTGTAGCAGCCTCTCTTGGGCAGAGATTCTGGGGGGGGGGCTGCCAGAAGTTGTAGCAGCCTCTCTTGGGCAGAGATTCTGGGTGGGTGGGGGGACTGCCAGAAGTTGTAGCAGGCCATATAAACCCAAAGGGGAGGTCACGTCTCACAGGGTGAAGATGCCTAACAAAACAGAAAACTTAACAGAAGGACAGGAGTAGGAAGGGGCCTTGGAGGTCTTCTAGTCCAGCCCCCTGCTCAAGCAGGAGATCCTAGATCATTTCAGTCAGTCAATCAATCAATCAATCAATCACTCAATCAATCACAATAGAGCTGGAAGGGACTTTGGAGGTCTTCTAGTCCAACCTCTTGCTCATACAGGAGATCCTAGACCATTTCAGTTAATCAATCAATCAATCAATCAATCAATCACAATAAAGCTGAAAGGGACTTTGGAGGTCTTCTAGTCCAGCCCCCTGCTCAAGCAGGAGACCTTTTGCCATTCCAGACAAATGGCTGTCCAGTCTCTCCTGGAAAGCCTCCAGTGATGGAGCGCCCACCACTTCTGGAGGCCACGGATTAACTGTTCTCATTGTCAGGAAATTTCTCCTTGTTTTTTAGCCTGGATCTCTCTTTAAAACAAGCTTTTCCAAACCCGTCACTTCTATTCTCAGATGCTTTGGAAAATAGGTTGCTCCCCTCTTCTCTGTGGCAGCCCCTCAAGTGCTGGAAGACAGCTATCATGTCCCCCCTCGTCCTTCTCTTCATATACGCTAGACATACAGAATATGGAAAGCCAGATTGGGAAGGTCTTCTAGTCCAGCCACCCTTGCTCAAGCAGGAGCATGGCTGGGGTGGGGTGGGGTGGCTAGTTGCATGAAGAGTCGCGCCATTTGCAGAGAAGGAAGCCTTCTCCTACGTGGATGGGCTGACTAAGGGTCTGACTCTCACAGCTTCTTCATGGTTAAAAAGGCTTCTGCTTAGTGGAAGAGACTAATTTAGGAACAGCGTTACGTCCAGGATGCACTAGCACGGATGATGTTACCTAGTTGGGTCATGAAATGTCTGCAAGAAAGCCACCAAGCTCAGAGAGCACTAAGGACCACACAGTCGTTGCCCTCTTCCTCCTCCTCCTCTTCCTCCTCCTTCTCCTCCTCCTCCTCCCTCCCCTTACCCAACGTTCTAGCATTGATGATGTTCCCTAGTTGGGTAATGAAATGTCTACAAGAAAGCCACCAAGCTCAGAGAGCACTAAGGACCACACAGTCGTTTCCCTCTTCCTCCTCCTCTTCCTCCTCCTTCTCCTCCTCCTCCCCCCTCCCCTTACCCAACGTTCTAGCACTGATGATGTTACCTAGTTGGGTCATGAAATGTCTGCAAGAAAGCCACCAAGCTCAGAGAGCACGAAGGACCACACAGTCGTTGCCCTCTTCCTCCTCCTCCTCTTCCTCTTCCTCTTCTTCTTCTTCCTCCTTCTCCTGTCTGCAAAGCCCACTTCCTTCTAGCATTGATGATGTGCCCTACCTGGGTCACGAAATGTCTGCAAGAAAACCACCAAGCTCAGAGAGCACCAAGGACCCCACAGTTCAACACCTGGCTACAAATAGTCTCCTGTACTGATATCCAGGCACTCTGCAAACTTCTAACTTAGTTGACTGCGCAATTGTTAACATGCATGTGACATTCTGTGGTTTGTCTCCCCTTCTGTGGCCTTGCTGTCCCCCCACATTCTTTTGGCCATCTTCTTCATGGTCCAATCTTTCTGGGATTCTCCAAGGAGACTCTCTTCTCTGGGTGTCTCCCCAACAAGGAGGCACCCGCTGGATCCTCTTGGCTGCGAACCAGTCACCTGGTGACCGTTCAGGACCAGTCCTACACTTATGGCCACGGTTACAGCCTCCCCGGGGTCACATGATCAAAATTCGGGCCCCCTGGCGACTGGCATGCATTGATGACAGTGGCGGAATCCTGGGGGCTCATCCGATTGCCATTTGCAACTTTCCAAGCAAAGTCAGTGGGGGGGGAATCAGATCTGCTTAATGACAGTGTCATTCACTTAAAGACTGCAGTGATTTTCTTGACAACCGTGGCCCCCCAAAAATCTTGTAAAATTGGGTGTGGCTTGCTTAACCACCCAGGAACGGAAATTTCCATCCGCGTTGTGATTATAAGTTGAGGTCCATCTGCCGTAGCCCCTTTCCCTTGTTCCTTTGGATTCAAGACCTAAGGCTGGAGAAAGACGCAGTGATGGGGTTATGGGGCAAATACTTAGGGCTACCCGTTGCGTGTGGGTGGGGGAAGAGAAGCCATATTTGATTGCAACGTCCCCCAATGTTCACCAGATACAGCAAGATCTGGGAAGTCCATCATGCTGGCTGGGTGCTGATTGTGTCTCCTCCCACAGGGGGGTCTTCCTTCTGGAAGGACTGTGTGAATAGGCACGAAATAGGTTTGTGTGTGTTCCAGTGCTCATTCCACGTCTATTATGACGTCTGCTTGCCTAAGAATTGAACAGCAAATGTAGAACATGGGGTTCGGTGA